AGGCCCACCAAATAAGCTTTGATCCACTCTTTTGCATTTCTTATCTCCCACCAAAAAGTCCAAAGCTGATGAATGAGAAAGAAGATCCCCTACTACAACGTCTTTATGCAAATTAATGCCCTCTGGAGGAGCATTAAGTGAGGCTGAGCCGGTACACTGTCCAACGTCCCCATGCTGGTGAATAACCACTGGATTAACAATTGTACCCTCTTGTGAAAGACTGTCTAACCTCGTACCATGGGAAACTCTCATCCCTGCCAGAGATAGCACGCTCTTCATGCTGGGGTTCCTGTTCCAGCACCGGCAAGTTAGGGAATTGGTCCAACAGCCACCGCCTAAATTGATTTTGAGGACAACGTCCTTGATCTCTAAGATCCGGACCATACGCCCTCACGAAATCATCTTCATTGATATCCAGCAGATGAGGATAGAACTTTTCTACATGGCCAAGCATGCTACATGTGAAGCAAAAGGTGGGAAGCCATTCATATTTGCAATCCAAACTTAAAACCTCTCCACTGGACAGTTTGATCTTCACCACCTTTCTGTGAGGCTTGATGACATTTATACTAACCCTTATGCGAATAAAGGCGCTCCAGGAACCATCAAAGTTCTCGACGTCAGCTTTGATAAACTGACCCAAACTTGAATCGATCACCTCCGCCATTTTTAAGTTAGTGAGAGGTTATGGTATTTTGTGAATCTGTACCCAGAAGTTTGCCCTATCAAGCTTAGCATTGAAAGGAGACTCGTTTTTCTCAAGCTTGTGTAGGACGAGGAGGTTCTGATCAAAGGACCAGGGTCTGTCGTCGAGGGCCCGCTTCATGTCTTTGATGTGGAAGAAGTAGAAAACATAAAGATTTGCCGAGATATCTTTTGCCACCATACCTCTTATCGGTCTCCATATGGTGGCAAGAGTTTCCTTCATGTAGTTGAACTTAACTGCTCTGTCTGAGAGGAGGGAGCCAACCAGTGTAAACACATTCTCATTCTGGGCAGGATTAAACACATCATCTCCCACCTGAATCTCCACCTCATTAGCTTCTCTTATATTTAGTGTTGCATACTGATCTTCAATAGGCTCTTTGCCCTTACTAGAGGAGGCCATTGAACGAGATGAAGGGTAAGATGTGGCGGTAGAGAATAAGGAATTGGGGTTGCAAAGGAAAAAGATAAAAAAAAAAACTAAGAGAGGGGACATGACACAAGAGCAGGAGAGAAGAAGACAACAAACAAGAAGAATGTTCTTTAAAAAAGGAAGGGTTGAAATAACTGCTACAGAGGTATGTACCAACCACCACCAGAGTGGTATAAATGCAGACCAATAAAGACTGAAACTTGTCAAATAAACAAGAGGGAAACCTTGTCAAGAAAACAAGGGGGAGAGGAAGCAAAATACACTTAGGACCTAGAGGGTCATAGATTCTAGGAGCTTTCACGTACTGCACCCCTAGCCAGAGCACCATCACTGGAGTTTCTCGAACCTTCGATGACAAATTATATTTCTAGTCAGCAGAAATCAATTGGGAATACTAATTTCAAAATTACTTAATGCTTTTGAGCCGTTTTTTCAGACACGAGAGATGTTGATTGTGTGTATAAAATAATATAAATTAGTTTAGGTAACCAGTGACAAAGCAAAGTAACCTATTATTTGGTAGAATTGCATCTTTTTAAGTTGTTTGATGGTTTAATTACAACTTTTTTAGTTCAGGGTCAAATTGTATTTTTGTGTGTAGTTCAATGGTCTATTTGCACCTTATTCCTTTTTATATTAACATATAAAAATATGTCATGATGCAGGGTCCGTTTGGAAAGCAGGAAAATGACTTCTGGAAAATGTTTGTTAGAAAATGAGTCATTTTCCCCAAATCATTTTCCTTTCCAGTGTTTGGTTGCATTCTGGAAAATTATCTTGATGTGTTTGGTTCATTTTTTGGAAAATGAGCATAATTATTTTTAATTTTCCATATTTAAAATATACAATGATGGTGGCGGGTGGCGGGTGGGTGGTGGTGGAGGCTGGGGTGGTGGTGGTGGTACCACAATTTTATGATAGACAAATTGAGAGAAATGTTGTGATTTCACAACATTAGGCGAAATAACACTATTTGCCATAAAACGAAAGGAAATAGATGGGCGCAATTTTGGATGAAACTGTCGAGCCCTCTATTTCTTTTTTTAGAATCAAATTTACTCTCAGAGGTGAAGGAAGTGGTGTTTGAGTAGAGTAGAGGCTGAGATCCACACAAGGAGGAAGAACAAGAAGAGGTATAACCCATGGACTCCCACCTCTTTATTTATGACTCTGTGAAGTCAAGATGTTAGTGAAAATGCTTAGAAATGCTAGATTATTGATGATGTTGAGCTATTAAGTGATCTATGTTGTGTTGTTGAGGATTTGGGAGTGTGGGATTGCCTTGAGATAGTTTACAAGTGAAGAGAAGACCCTTGGTGTACCAGACAGTGTGTACTAGACAGCCTCACGGTACTAGCCAACGGACCCCGTGGAGGTCCGCCGGCTAGTACCATGGATCAACGGTCCCAGAGGACAGACCATGGAGTGGTACGCCGCCTAGGGCCGCTGCTTGGCGGAACCAAGTGGCAGGGCTCCTCAAGCCTCGCCGCAAGCTCTGCCAGGCCAATACAGTGCAGTGGCCGGGCCCTTTGTGGCTCAGCTACGTGTCGTTCGGACCGGGACTCACGGGCCCTTGAGGCTAGGACACTCGGGATCGTTACGACAGACTCGTAGAATTTGACTTCATTGAATTTGGAGGTGAAATGAGTAATTTACAGTAGAAATTGTGATGATTCATGCTATAGAAGTAATCTGTGCAGTATTTACAAAGAAGGAATATGTGATGTATTTAGTCTTAGCTATTTTTATGAGAAGCATGACAATTATTTGATTGTTAGATTAAGAAACATGATCATTATTTGCCAAAGTTTGCTTGATTAGCATGTTTAAAGCCATTGTGAGTTATTGAGAATTTTGCCAAGAATATGAGATGTTTGGTTGTACAAAGCATGAATCTATTTGTCCAGTAAAGTGAAATATTAAAGCATGTTGTCTATTTTGTGTTCAAAGAGCATGATCAATATTTGCTAAGTGTTCGCTAAGAAGTTTTGCTAAGTATTGAAGTGATAAGCATGAAGTAGTATATTGTTTGCTTAACTTATAGTCAAAGAGAATTGGAGATATTCTTTATAGTAAAGAGCATGTTTAGCGTATCATGAACTAATGTGCATAAGTAACTTAAAGTAAGCCTAAGTATTCTTTCAAAAACCTATACTTATTTTGGAAAATCATTATCTAGTTGCATTGAGAAGTTGCATGATATTTGATTTCCAACTTGTGAGAAAAGAGGAGTTGTTGAGAAGCTATGTGCATAAGTAGGACTGGGCACATTTCGGGTCAATCCCGAAATTTCGTGGGTTCGACCCGTAAATACGTATTCCGGGTCGGATTCGACCCGGTTCGGGTCCAACCCGATTAAAGCTTCACAGATTTGTTATTTCTCGGTTCGGATTTCGGATGTACAATATTAATTTCGGATTCGACCCGAAACCCGAAATATATGGGTAGTATATAAACAATAGTAAGGCACTAGGGTTACAGACTTGAGACTCCTCTCTCATCAGCCTCCTCGCTACTTCCCGTCTATCTTCTTTCTCTGAATCTTTGCCCCTTTCTCTCTCAAGATTTACCCTCTCTTCTCTGATCTTTCTGTCTCTCAAATCTCACTGATCTGAGTATCTCATCCCTCACTCTCTCTATCTCTCACCTTCTCCGGTCTCCGCCGTTCAAAGCCTTAGAGGCTCAGACTCCGCCTCTCACCTTACACACCCTCTCTGCCTCTCCCTTGGACTGCGACTCCTATTCTTACTCCGGACCTCTCAAGTCTAGCATTCGGGGCTAAGCACAACGTAGATCTGGGATTTTGGGGAGATGGGCTTAGACTCCCCCACTTCTCCGGTGAACGGCGGTTCGCTACTGTCAAAGGCCAAAGCTGTTAACACTCTAAAGCCTAACAGGTAGTTTATTAGTTTTTTTTTTTTTCATTTTTTTTCTAGAAAATATATGTTTTAACCATGTTTGGAAAATTTTATGTCTCAGGTTCTCAGTCTCTCACTATCGAGTCTCGCCAAATATTCCCAGTAAATCTGGCTCTCTACAGATCCGGGGAGATCTCCATTGAGGCTTCGAATTTGTAAACTTCTCCAGTGACCGTCTCTAACCATGAAAATATAATAGGAGAAAAAGGTACTTTACTGTTACTTTAGTTTATTTTATTTTCAATTTTTTTCTCAAAGAAGTATATAAAACATTACAAGGTTTTTGAAAATTTTTCCTTTTGTATTAATTTATCTAAGATTCAGTTTCAAAATTTGTAGTTGATCATATATATATATATATATATATATATATATATATATATATATATATATATATATATATATATATATATATATATATTATATATATATATATATATATATATATATTTCAACAAAAGACTGTATTATAGTGTTTTTAATGTTCTTCTAACGATTTTGTTTATAAATTTTTAATTTTATTAGTTTTCACTGTTTTCATTTTTTATTTATAAATTTTTATTAGTTGTTTTTTTTTTTTTTTTTTTTTTCGTTTTTTCCCATAAAATTGGAACTAACTGTAATTTGTGTTGAGGACTTAAAAAATGAAGTGTTTCTAGTTTTTAGATTACACTATATGGCTCAGTAAATATGGTTCAGACTACTGTAGGTTTTACATTGGATAGTTTTGTTGATGTGCCTAGTTGGTAACTATAATTTTAATGCTACAAAACTCAAGTTTTGTGTAGTACTAATTTAGCAATTTATGTATGCTATGATGCTTTTATTAGTTTCTCCTTAGAATCTTAGAATGCCTATTTGAAATGGATGGTAATTTGATATGCTCAGGTCTTGTCTTTTTTATAGTCTAATGTTTTTGTTTACTAACTGAATTCTGCATTTCAAAGGCCAATAACTGAGATTCATCCAATTGGAAATTCTCCTGTCATTGTTGATCGAGAAGGTACGCATAATACTCCATAAATTTTCATTTACCAATTAGTATTTCATCTTCTTCTTTAACATGCGGTCTTTATTGCCTTTATATGTTTGTTAGGGACTTCTGAAAAAGATAACTCCTACATGGACGAATGAAGGAGGACCCTGAAGCTGATTAAGCTTTTGGCTGGGTACTTGAGATGTAATCTACCTCCCGTCATCATACCAAAATTATTTCATTCCCCCTTTGGATTGGGAACAAAAACTAACCTTAAACCTCAGTATATCTTCTTATTATCTTCTTTATATGCAGGTATGCATATAAAAGGATCAATAATGAATTAACTTCCATGCATTATATTTAAACTTTCAATTTGTGTGCTTTTAATTTGTATCAATTATCAAGTATCATAGCATAATTAGTATTATTGGAGTTCATATATGAACTTTGACAATATAGTAATATAGTCTTTATTGTTGTTTGTTGTAGGGGTTCTAATTAGCAACCAAATGAGTAGCAGTTTACTAGCAGACAGATCATTGGATCAATATTTGCTTAGGGGAGCAAACTAAATCCAATACAGAATACTTAGTTGTTCTCTCAATCTTATTTCACTATTTTTTGTTTAGTTTGTATTTTTTTTTTTTTGGTGATTCTAAATTTGTAATTAACTGGGTAAGGTATTTTGCCCATTTGGGTTGTAAATTTGTAATTAACTAGGTATGGTATTTTGCCCACGTGGGTTGTCATGTAGAGTTTTGTATTTATTGTTCTGCATATTTTATTATTTTAGATTGGTTTTAAATTTCTTGTTTTGCTTAAAGAATTTTCAAAAGATTTAAAATTTCAAGATTTTTGGAACAATGTTATAATTTCGGGTTTGGCAGACCCGACCCGACGTAAACCCTACCCGAAAATACCCGATGATTTTCGGTTCGGTTTTCGGACTTTAAAAGGCAAGACCCGAAATATTTCGGGTGACCATTATTTGCACGGGTCGAACCCGAACCCGACCCGTGCCCACCCCTATGCATAAGTTTGCATAAGTAAAGTTGTTGCATGAGATAGAAATGCATGAGTTATATCTATATGTATCTAGTGTGAGTAATCCGAGATTTTGGAGGCCAGTTAGGACTATGTCCTTTCGGAAGAAATAAGAAAGTAAAGAAAACAACGGACATTGCGATCCGATGTGAAGTAACGAGGTCGATATTCCCGAGTTACTTCGTAGGATACTACCTGCCGGGCTTGGAAACCCGGTCAGGGGGTGTGCACACTGACAAGTACGATACCTGATTCCATAGAGTTTGAGAAAAGATCCAAGAGAGTGGTTCTGTGGGCGAGATGAGTATTAGGACGGCAAGATGCCAAGCCCAGATAGCGTCGTTCACGTTATGGTGAATTTCCTACCTCGCCCACGAGTAAAAGTAAAGAAAGAAAAAAAGAAAGCGAGTCATTGTGACTCTAGAGAAAGAAGAGAAAAGCGAGCCTGTGTGACTCAAGTGGAAGAAGAGAAAAGCGAGTCATTGTGACTCTAAGAAACCTCCGTCGAACAAGTGTTCCGTGTTACCAAAGAAAGAGTGTATACATATATCTATCTATACTTATACTAAAGCATCATGTTCATCTTATTGCATGATTAAATGATTTGCACGGGTTGCATGAAAGTACGATAAGAAGCATGACATTATATTGTCTTTCATTCATTACATGATAGCATGAGATTGCTTATTGAGTTATATGATAGCATGAGATTGTTTATTGAGTCATTTGATAGCATGAGATTGCTTATTGAGATATATGATAACATGGGATTGCTTATTTAGATATATGATAACATGGGATTGTTTGTTGAGATATATGTTAGCATAAGATTGCTTGATAAGCTTAAGTATATTATTAACCATCAGTCGAGTATGATTAGTGTATATCGCCATGTTAAGATATATATGTGAAAGCACAGGGTTGTTGATGAGTTAAATGATTAAGAAAGCATGCCTATTTGATAATTAGGTTGCAAGCATATAGAAATATTGTTGAGCATGTTTAAATGTTGCTTAAGTGATTGAGAATACATGATCTACGTGTGTGAAACAAATGTTTTCCAAAAGTATATACTGTAGTATTTTACATGGTTGAGTGGCGTTATACTTAGCTTCGTGCTAACGGGTTGTTTTCTACTTGTTGTTTGTTAACCCCTTTCAGGTGGGCCCAATACTTGAGAGCGATCGAGTTAGACTAGATTAACTTAGTGTGCTAGTTGTAGTCTAAACTCTTATCAGTATGTTTATTTTAAGACTTGGTTGTAGACTTATTTAGATGTTTTAATGGTGTTGGACACCGGGGTTTTATTCCCCTAGTTTGTTTAAAGTTAGTTAAAGCTTGACTTGTTTAGATGTCTTCCTTGCCTATGCAATCACCGTGCGTGGTGATTGTGGCGGTGACACCTCTTAAAAGTGGATTAGTAAGTTTACTATGCTTGTTAGTATCCCTTTCTAAGTTAAGTATTTGTTAATAAGGTTTAAGAAAAGTGGGATGTTACACTTGTAACCTGCAATAGGAATATGCTTAATCTGGCATACATCATGGTGAGAAAATAGATCATCGAGAATTTCATCATCCCAATCAGATTTAGATATATTGAGCAAGGACTCCACTTTGGCATCTCTTAAGGGATCAGGCATGGGGGTTTGGGATTCAAGAAGGCTACGCCAAATAAAGGAAGGTTTGCTTCTAATACCGGCATCAAAGAAAGATCCATCGGGAAAGTATTTTGCTTTGTAGACTTTGGACAAAAGAGAGTTAGGGAATTGGATAAGCCTCCAGGTTTGCTTACCGAGGAGTGCAATATTGAACTCTTGTAGTTTTCTAAAACCCATTCCACCCCCTTGTTTGGGAATGCACAGAGAATCCCATCTCTTCCACTTTATACCACTATTACTCTCACCCTCGCAGCCCCACCAAAAGCTATTCATAATTTTCTCAATTTCTCTATTCATTATTATATGTATTTGCTTTTTTATGTGTGTATGTATGTGGTATTTCAAAGATCATGGCAGTGAGGGACAAGGATGGTGGTCAATTTTTTTCATGCTCTTAGAAGCCATTCGATCATTTTTCATATTAACAATAGGTGTATTTGTTGCATTGTGAGGAGTGATCTTGTTAGGATGATTGCAGAATCATTTACTAAGAAGAAAGGAAAACTCAATCATATTGTAAAAGGGAACAAGCAGTGAAGCTGATGAGAATGATGTATTGATGTGTATTACTGTCTCCTCTGTGACAGTATTTACAAATCCTCTGTATTGAGCTATGTAGAATCTTCCTACTTATTTTTCAAAGACACATGGTAAATATTTATAATTCTTCTCATAAATTTTGATAGTGTTTTATTGTATTTTTCTTTTTATTGAAAGAAAATTGAAATTGGAAGATGGAACTACAACTTGTGGATGAACAACCGAAGTTGTTTGGGCCTCAAGCACTAAAGCATTTCAATAGATCAATGCCCCACTATACCTCATTTTGTTATTATTGTCTTATTAATGTGCTTGTAATTATTATATTAGTAAATTCTTGTACTATTACAAAAGTTTTGAGTTGTAATTTGTTAAATATTACAAAGTATTTTATTGCTTTTTATTTTAATTTAGAATTGTATAATATGTATACGTCTTACCTCTACTATGCACACGCCTTACCGACAAAATCATATGTCCGCTGCTTTCGTATTCTTTTAATTAATAAATTTTAACCCAAAAAAAAAAACGTGGAGGATTCACGCTCATTAGAAATAACAATTTTTTAACAACAAGAAAAAAAAAAAAAATCACCGTCATGCAAATTCGACGGTACAATAACTTGCACACACTATTGCACACTAATGCACACACCATCGTAAATAACAATTCTGGTTAAACAAAAAACAAAGGAAAAGTACTTTTACAATCTTACAAAAGAAAAAAAAAAACCAACAATATGAACTCACACACACACCTAATAATAATTTTGGTAAAAAAAAATAAAAAACTTGACACTAATTCACGCCTCCAACACCCCCATCGAAGCACTCTAACATCTTGCACCTGCCCACCTTCATAAACGCAACTACCAACAAACTACAAAATTGAAACGCACACACCTTACACACTCAAACATGCACCAATTCACACGTCCACCTACATAAACGCATCTACCATCACACCACTAAATTTGAAAAAAAAAAACAAAAAAAAAAACAACACAGCATGGTGCAAAGTTGCACTCCCCGAAATATGCACATGCCATGAAATCAAAAGTAAAGTAATAATAAAAAACACATACTATGCTGTTATGATAATATTATTATTATAATATTAAACCAATGTTGTTAGAATTTAGAAAGTAAATACATGAGGTGTGTGGATGTGGAGAACGTGGAGTACTGGAGAAGAACATGGAGCATTAGTGATTAGTGCCTAATTTTTAGCAAGCTTTGAGTTATCTTTCATTTAGTATAACTAGTATGTGTATTCAAGCATTTTAATTCATCAATCAAATTCATTTCTCTCTCTCTTTCTCTCATATATAAATACATAGATATTAAATATTTAATATATCTTATAGATATATTATATTTAATATAGATATATTATATTTAATATATCTAACATTTGGTATCAGAGCCAGTCAACTTTTCAACCCGAGATATTTCCCGTAGTGAAATATGACTGCAAATTTCAATATTGTATGGTCGGGTCCCAAATTGGACGGGAAACTCGATTACAATTATTGGCAAATTATGATGTCCACACATTTGAAAGCTCAAAATCTTTGGAGCTTTGTTGATCCCGGTCCACCCGAAGGAGCTGATGCCCAAACACGGCGATATCAGTTGGCCTTGGGACAGATTCACCAAGGTGTTCACTACTCCATTTTTAGGCAATTAGCTCGTGCTCAAACAGCAAAGCAAGCTTGGGACATCTTAAAGGTGTCAAACAAAGGAGTCGATCGGGCACAGAAGTCTAAGTTGCAGTCGTTGAGAAGGTTGTACGACAATTGTGAGATGACCTCTACAGAAATAGTAGACGCGTATTTCACTCGTCTTATTGATATGGTGAATAAGATGAGGTTATACGGAGATACGATTGAAGATGGTGCAGTGGTTGAAAAAGTTCTACGAACTATGCCAATGAAGTATGACCATGTGGTGGCTTCAATCACAGAGTCACACAAAACCGAGCTCTTATCAATTGCAGAGCTGAAAGTTATGGTAGAAAGTCATATTGGCAGGATTGCGTCAAAATCGGAACCACTAGCAGAAGAAGCTTTGAAGAGCCAAGTCACCCTTAATGTGACTGGCACTAATCAAAGAGGTGGAGGATCTGGTAGAGGTGGTGGAAGAGGAAGAGGAGGTTCTAGTGGAAGAGGTCGTGGTAACTTCAACCAAGGAGGAGGACGTGGTAACACCAACCAAAGAAGAGGTGGAGGTAATACCAAACAAGGTAAATTTCCATTTCATTGCTACAATTGTGGCAAGTATGGGCGCAAGATTGCAGATTGTTGGTATAATGAGGACAACAATAGTGGAAATCAAGCAAACATTGCTGAAAACACTGCTGAAAAGTCTGGTGAGAGTTCTGAAACTTTACTTTTAGCCAGCGATAGTTTT